AAATAATGTTATCTATAAAAAAGCTCGACTGCCAATGCCCCCCACCCATCTCCCCAAAAGACGACAACTCATGAACCCCGAAGTGCCAGGTTCAACTCGGCTAATTTTAAGTCGCCATGATATTACCTCCCTGATTCTTTTATAATAGAACATTCTATACCAGGAGTTCCTATATAAGGCCTAATTTCCAGGAAAAATCCGCTTGTTTCTGTATTGTCTTTAACTAAAAAAATACGATGGTGATGTTTTAATTTTTCCACTTTGAAAAGCACCGCGCCCTCTGACCTTCGATACAATATAGAGCTGTGTGACGGGGAAAAGGCTTACCTTCAGAAAAGAAAGAAAATAATGTTGGAGGCCATGAAAAAATATCTAGGGGAACGAGGACCAAAAAGTCTTAACGAGGTAAGAAGTTTGAAGTTGACACCACGATACTTTTGGCAAAGCCATTAATTCTAGAAGTTCAGATAAGTTGCTTTTGAAACACTCACTACAAATGATACAAGCCCATTATCTTATTACTTCGATTCAGTTCCTAAAGAAAGACATCACAGATAAAACTTCTCCTGATTATGCTCTTTACAAGTCTTATGGATCGAGCTTGTGAAGCTTTGTGGCTCGTGGCAGAATCCAGATTTTTCGTGTGTTGATGTTTAAGGACACACACTCGAGAAGCCCCAATCTTGACATGCTGTGTGCCAATGTGTGAAAACGTTTAACCAATGAGGTATTTTTCTTAAAAGGCTCGTTTATGGAGGAATCAGCTCTTCTACGATCATTCTAGATCTCTCTAGGACTCAAGTGATTCGGAGAAAGGAAGCGGTGTAAATATTTGGTAATACGTTCTTGATTGTCTTTTCCAGGTACCCAACCTCGTCATTCTTGGCGCCGGAGGCGGGTTTCGTGCCATGGTGTATCTCAGTGGTGTGTTCTGTGCACTGAAGGACATGGGCCTGTTTGATTGTTGTACNGAGTTTAAATAATGTTATCTATAAAAAAGCTAGACTGCCAATGCCCCCCACCCATCTCCCCAAAAGACGAGAACTCATGACCCCCAAAGTGTCAAGTTCAACACGGCTAGTTTTAAGTCGCCATGATATTACCTGCCTGTTTCTTTTATTATAGAGCATTCTATGCAAGGAGTTCCTATATTAGGCCTAATTTCCAGGAAAAATCCGCTTGTTTCTGTATTGTCTTTAACTAAAAAAATACGATGGTGATGTTTTAATTTTTCCACTTTGAAAAGCACCGCGCCTTCTGACTTGCGATACGATATAGAGTTATGTGACGGGGAAAAGGCTTTTCTTCAGAAAAGAAAGAAAATAATGTTGGAGGCCATGAAAAAATATCTAGGGGAACGAGGACCAAAATCTCTTAACGAGGTAAGAAGTTTGAAGTTAAAACTAAGGTACTTTTGACAAAGCCATTAAATTCTAATTCAGATAAGTTGCTTAACACTCACTATAAACGATACGATACAAGCCCATTATCTTGTTATTTCGATTCAGTTCCTAAAGAAAGGCATCACATATAAAACGTCTGCTTATTATACCCTTTACAATTAAGTATTATAGATCGAGCTTGTGTAGCTTCGTGGCTCGTGGCTCGTGGCTCGTGGCTCGTGGCTCGTGGCAGAATCCAGATTTTTCGAGGAGCCCCAATCTTGACATGCTCTGTGGCAATGAGTGAAAACGTTTAACCATCGTCGATATTGGAAAAGGCTCGTTTATGGAGGAATCAGCTCTTCTACGATCATTCTAGATCTCTCTAGGACTCAAGTGATTCGGAGAAAGGAAGCGGTGTAAATATTTGGTAATACGTTCTTGATTGTCTTTTCCAGGTACCCAACCTCGTCATTCTTGGCGCCGGAGGCGGGTTTCGTGCCATGGTGTATCTCAGTGGTGTGTTCTGTGCACTGAAGGACATGGGACTGTTTGATTGTTGTACGTACACTTCTGGCCTATCAGGGTCAAATTGGTATGTCAATCACAGTTTCTTTGTTCTATACTATAGACCCTAGTCATAAATGGCTATACTTCTTTAAAATTATTTTGTATGCATTTGAATTAGCCCAATTAACCTCGTCTGAGAGTAAAAATTCTTTTGAATTATCAACTCGAAAACGAGGTTAGTCGGGCTAATTTTAATACTTGCAAAAGAATTTTTAACTGGCTGCCATTTATGAATAGGGCATAACTAATAGCCAATTGGAGTCCTCGTAGAGTCTAAACTGCATCATTAAAGTTGAAAGAGCGGCCTTCGACAGTATTCAACAGTACTTTACCATAAATTAAAATACTTTGGACTGA